TTGTTATGTCTAGAGAGTGTTAAAAATAATTAAAACACTCTTATCTGCCAACTAGTTATTTTAATAAATTTAATAATTTTAATAATTAAGGACTACGGTTTTAATCATTTCAAAATATACGTTTGGAGTGTAGAGAAGTATACTTCAATAGGTACCTTCTATTAGAAATCGATAGACGTATAAATGAGCTTCCGACCTTTACGAACCTTCTTCCAATTTACGAACATTTTAAAGTTCAGCTTCAATTTACTTTATGAGATGTGTAAATTTCGACCGAGATGTAAAAGTCAGAGCAATTTATAGGTTCATCACACGCTGCCACTTTATAGCAGGCAGTAATTACAAAGTACTCGAATTTATTTCCTTTGTGAATTTAGCGAGAAGGAACTCAATTTCGAATTCGAAGTTTCTAATTATGCACGTGTATATCAAAGAGAGAAACAGTGATGGTTGAAATAAGGTTTTAACTAATGAAACACTAACCTATACTCTAAAAAATAACAGTTCATATTGGTCTATACCATAGTGTACCAATATGATAGACATAGTTTAGCAAGATAATTCAAATATTATTCAACGTTGTACATGATTTATTTAGTTAACAAATGGTTGAGTGAACATTATTCAACAAATAGTGTTATGGTTTCATCACAATTGGGCGTGGCTTTAACAAAAAAATTGTGTTGATTTCGAGCATTTCATTTTAAAAGGATGCGAAACACACACATACAGTGGGTATATTTGAACAATTTAATAATGTTATTAATATATTATTATTTTCACAAATTACAAATCACAAATCACAAATCTAAAAAATATTTATTTATAATGAGCAATCCCTTCCTAATAATGTCCGTTTCCGGGTTTAGACAGTAACATACCTATATAAGCTGATACTCGTCTGGAGTTTATGATTGGGGTTGTTATATAAAGTGCCGTAAAAAGTAAAAAAAAATTAAACTGGGCAGATTGATATTTAAGGACATAGGCCATGAAAACGAGTAACACGATTATATACAACTACACCTCTAATAAGTTTCTCAGACACATTTTTCCTTGCATAAAAACAAGCCATAAAGTGGTCATATTTGCGCAGACCGTAGCAAAACCTTGAACAGTTATTCTGATTTTCTCGAAACGTTTGTTAATCTTTTACAAACGGAAACTTTGTGGCAGCAAATAAATAAACAGTCGTAATCTATAATAATAATAACAATAATAAATGATTTTATTTGCAATTGCATACAATAATTTAACACAAGATTACAAACAAAAAGAAAAAAAATACAAGTAATACAAATTGCAAAATGGCAGAGTTCAGGTTAAACCTTCTCTTCCACTCAACCAAAATAATATTTATAATCTAAAACTAACAAGTAAAAATAAATTAAGACAAACATATTTAAAATAACTACACAAAATTACAGTTTAAAAACAATTATAAAGACTAAAAGTAATACCACTGGTACAAAAAAAATGTATATTATAGTATTAAGAAACATCTATCGGATAACATATTTTGTTTTATCTTTGACTTAAATATTGGTAATTTACAGGTTTTAGAGTAATGAGGGATTAAATTGTAATATTTGGTAATTTGATAACTGAAGCAGTTCTGATATAAAGATGTTACATGAGTTGGTACAGATAATGTATTCTTAAATCTTATTCAGTTTGTTGTCAATAGTGGGAAATTAGAGGCCAAATTTCAAAGAAAAACACCAAATTTTCTCAATTGTCGACGTTTCGTCACTTATCGTGACTGCCTCAGGACACTATAAAATTTAATAATTTCAAAATTACATCACAATTTATAAATAACAAACTTAACATTAAAATATTAAAAAAGTGTGTCTAAAACATTACAATAAAATGAATACAGTAATATCTATATGTATAAACATGAAAAAAAAAATAATACAAATACAGACACACTAACAATTTTTATATGTCACAAATTTAAAAACAAAAGTATTAAAATTACATAAACAAAATGTTTTTATATAATAAATAATAAAATAACAAAATATGGTGAATGAGCAAGAAACGCAACAAACAACAACCTGTGCATAACATGCGAAAAAGAAAAATTTAAATTAAAATTAAATCTACGTATATTGTTTATATGTTACTCACATTACAGATTTAAGTGCTTCACTGTGTAGATATTTAGGAACTCGTATTCAGGAACATAAGAGAGATTGTATGAATATATTAAATCTAATAAAGCCAAAAAAAGTAACAATTTATTTTATTTATTTTTTTTATTTAACCCTTTCAGTCCCAATTTTATTTATTTTTGTAAAAAGGTTCTTCTTGAAATATATATATTATTGGTAAGTAATAAGACGAATTTTGTTGTATTTATAAAAAAAAATATATTTTTTTTGTATACAAAAAAACATGGGATATATATATCCCAAGGGGAATTTTCGAAGGTACAAATATAATTCTTAGCAATGCTGAAAAAACCATAGGGATATATATCACCCGTGCAAAAAACTCAATGGAACAAATATGTCCAACATACTATTTTTATATATTTATTTTGTAAATGTATTACCTAAATGTACAATATGTATACATATACAGCATATATACTTCTGGAATAAATAAATAATAAATATTACCCGCTAAACTTATAAAACTTTTGATAAACACGCAACTACACGTACTACCATATGTATCTCACTCATAACTAAGGTTATAATTCGAGCGCGGCGTTGTCAAATGCTATAATTTGATTAGATATGACTAAAAACACCGCAAACTATCAAAACAATGTAAAATTGGGACTTACATGACCCATTGATTACTCTAGACAATGCTCGGGATATATGTATCCCTATGGGACCGAAAAGGTTAAAGAAAACTACTAAAAAAAATTTTTTTCACGATTAAATTGTTAATAACTTTTTTTCCTGATAAAATACTTTGTCAGCAAATTAGCCTGTTATTGTACTCATCATTTAAAGTAGACCTGTGCAGTTATTTCCGGGTTATCAAGGTTTGACACACGCCGAACCTCTGCCAACTGGACTGTAAATAAACTAAGGACCAAAAGATCGTATTACTGCTTCTTTGCTAATTGGATAGCTCGATATATAGCTTGTACCACATAAAAGTGTAGTAAAATGTACAATGTTCCTCAATGGTTAAATAAAGTTGTACTAAAACGTGAAATAGACCTCAGATTACCATTAAAGGAAATGAACCTCTGAGTAATGGCATACGCAGTTTCATTTATACAAGTCTCCACGCTTCTTAATCTGTCTCTGAAATGATAATGACTTTGTAATGATAGTTGCGATGTTCAGTTCTGCCACAGAGGTTATCCTGTATAGATATTTTACTTAAAATCTGTATTATTAAGGATATGAAAGTAATAAAGCAATCTAAAAAGTCTTCTTTGAATAACTGAAATATGAAACCTATTAAGATTTGGTGTTTTTTTTGTCGCAATGTGATATACGTAACTAAAATTTCCACTGCTATTATATAGATGATTTTCTTTTTCGGAAAATATGAAGACAACGCATTTAATTATTGGTTTCACTAAAACGGTATAATTTGCAGTTAAGGGAACTTGGAAACAAATTATATCTGAGTTCACGATAATATTTCAAAGGAGAGTGGTCATTGTCTTATTATCGTGAGAAATAAAGTTAGTGCTTTCTGTATTAACTTGAGAAGTTTTCTACAGTCCTTTCTACTTCGTATTTTGAGTCTAGTTGAGGCTGCATATCTGAAGGGTTTCAGTTGCTGCACCAGTGTGATGTTTCCTTGGTTTATTTTAAAAGAATTCCTTTTATTAAAATTCTTCTCTGATTGTACAAACAATGCCGAGAAATTTGAAGGTTCCGTTTTAAAACAATCCGCTTTATAATTAAACTTTTGATTTAATTCTCACTTCTAGTATTAAAAGTGATTTAGGTAATGAATATGCAAAAGGTGTACAAGATTATAAACTTCGATTGCGAGGACAAAGATTAAAACTCGTGATTAATTTTACTTGATATATATATTTTTTTTTGATAAACCAGGTTATAAAAAAAATCGTTCCCCATGAAATGTAAATTTATTAAAATGGAAAGTAATAAATTATATAATTATTTAACACCTTAATGGAAATTTACGAAAAGTTGCTGAAAATGTTGAAAATCTTTAAAAACATACTGTCATCAGGTGAGCAAATCAGTGATAAGGGTATTTATTCAAAAATACTGCAGTTAGTTTGTATATTTCGTTAATAAATAATAGGAGGGTAAATGCAAAAAATCTTAATTCAAGTTTTTGTTGTGTGTAATACGTGCTTATTCTAAAACAGTTTCTTTAGTATAAATAGGTTAGACCAAGAAAATAATATAGAGTTAATATTATAGTGCATTTTGATAACTGTTAAATGATAAGGAACCAGAGTACCTTCCATCAATTGTGTACATCTTTGCGATGAAAGTAGTAAAAATAGATCTAAAGTTCACGTTTTTGATTTTTTAAAAGATAAAGTTTTGTGCAAATTTTATTGTGATTTCCATGACGGCTTAATTCCAAACGCCGACATCACTTCATAAACAAATGTTTTCTGCATTGTTTTAAGAAATTAACTATATTTTCTATAGTAGTGGTATGTAGTAGATTGGAGCCGCCACAGCCTGGCAGTTAGACAACAAATGGGATCTTTTTGCCTAAATTTTCCTCCTATTTTCCACAGCAAATGTATTCCGAAAATGATTTAAGAATTTTATTTCAAATGCTAGAGTATATGGGTCATAGGAGGTTAGTGATAACGTCGTGTGTCACACTTAAGTAGTTATCTTAGGACAGAACTGGTCCACCTCAAGCCTCAAGGTCATGTCATCAGGGGCGGGCAATAGATGTTCAGCAGCAGCAGCCACGGTGACGATGTCCTCCAACATCATGCCGAAGAAGTGTCTGTGTGGGTGGTGATTAAAGAAGGTAGCGGCAGCTGGGTGTAGGAGGACAGATGGACTCCGCTGACAATGATCGCGAAGTCGTTGTCGTCGAAGAGCGTCAGAGTGTCAATGTGTACCAGGTGGAAGCAGGATTCTGATCGCGAAATGGTAATGGCACAGAAGATAAAACAACCAGAATTATATCTCGTTGTCGGCACCTTTGATCACTGATGTCTGTTTTCAGGGACCTTGAATGCCGTAAATCCCCCACTTTTGGTATACAAAGTCAGGATTGTATTAAGTGAAATTTTATTGCGTTAAACAGAGATGTACTAACAAAAAAGCCAGGAATTTATGTGCAGCAGAAAATGACGTTAATCATGCAAAATACTTGGTTATTTAGGTGAAAAGTCTTTTAAAAGCGAATTTTAGATTTATTTTAATTTTAAGTTAATCCAGTCTATTATATTATATGAAATTATTCAATGTCAAAAATATTTATATAGTTAATATCAAACTACTGAATAATTACATATTCAATATTTATTAACATAAATTTATAAGTACAAGGCAAAAAATGAAAAAGGAAAAGAATTGCGTAAACAAACATTTGTATAATATACAAATATATCTATCAGTACATAAATATACAGGGTGTCCCGTTCATGTTTCAAAAAAACTTGTGTGTAAGATCCTCTTGGTAAAATAATGGGGGTAGTTCATGTAACGTTTTTTTCGTACACGCCCTGTTTTCGAGATACAGCGTGTTGAAGTTGTTACTTTCCAAATGGTTTTTGGTTAATTATCTTTAAATAGGCTAAAGATAAAAATGTAAAAATTGTAAACATCAACTGTGCGTTAAGAATAATGTGCAAACGGTTTCTTTTTGAAAAGGGGTACAATAAAAAAAAATATGTTAAAAATCAAAATTTATTACATTTTTAAACGGTTCTGTAAACTCTAAAGCATACTACAAAAAAGGTATATTTGTCGAAATTCGGTAGCATGTACTTACCATTTTCGAGAAAAATTACGTTGCATTTTTTTTGCTCACATAAAGCGGCATAACAAAATATTAAATTGAAAGAGGACTTTACCATTGAATGGGTCGAAGACATTTAGCTACCAACAGTATTTGCATTTAAGACTATAATTTTAATTTCTTACGAATCACATTAAACAGTTAAATTGTAAAACATATTATTAATTAAAAAAAAAACTAAATTTATTTTGAGTTTTAGATTGTTGTAAACTAACATTTAAAAAAGTAAATCAAAATCAGGAAACGCCATATTTCCTTTCAACACCACAATTCATAGTTTTTATATTGTCTTTTATTTTCTAATACTTAATTTGTCCTTAATTTTACAGTACCTTATAGAATAATACACTCGAACAATCATTTATTTACACAACACAATAAATCACGTAAAACGACGCCAATGCTCAACGCGCGGGATAACAAACGACAAACAGGTTCATAAAATGGCTAAAATGCTTTTGTAACTACGCCACTTTGTTCCTATACCAAAAGTGGGGGGTGCGTGCACCGATCTGCGCGAATACCCCCACCACGCCAACTTATAATTCTGGTTGTTTTATCTTCTGTGGTAGTGGCGGCAAGGGCGACCAGCAGGTGTGTGTCGGCAGGAAGCAGCGGACGTGCCTTTTATAAGAAATTAAGAAAAAATCCGAGAATGCCATGCCTGTTGGTGACGTAAACGCGAGGGAATCTAGACTTGTTTCAGTTAGATCCATGACTCAATAAAGCAGCCTGAAATTGGTTTATAATTATCGAACATTTACAAAATGGGCAATCATATGAGAAACAGAGGTGCCTTTTACAAGCGTTGTAACCCTAAATAGTTCCTTAAAATTTTTTACGTATTATTAAGCGTACCGATCCAGTGATATATTTACTCTGTGATGCTTATAGTCAGCTTATTAAGGGGAATTTCTACACAGAAGAGCTGTAGAAGATCAAACATCCTAAGTCTACCTTATGGAGGAGGAATGTAGCAGGAGGGGGATAAAATGCTAGTCAAGTGGCTGGGGTTTGATAGCACTCACTTGATTTGAATTGATACAAATAGCATTGTTAAGCTTCATTATTTCGCTATTGTAAAAACGCTATTGTTGTTATTAAGTATTTATAACATTGATATGTCAATATAATATAATTATTATTAAATATACATCACTGCATTTATTTATTTATTTATTTAACAAATGAATTTAAAATTTGTCTATTACTTTTTAATTTTAAGGGAAAAGGAAAGAATAAAATGTAGTACTAAATTTTAAATAATTACCTATATTGTTCAATATATGTCTACCTCTATATATCAACCTGTATATTCGAACTTTATAATATTTTATTAGTCTATTAATTCCAAATTTGTAGCACTGGTAGCCGTACCCTTGCTCACTAAATACGAGCTTGCACCTGATGTAAATTATAGGCATACTGTTGATGAAAAAACACATGCATAATATACTGAAACCTTATAATACTGCAATTGTTGAGAGAAATTATCTCCAATTCTTGTCTTCAATTGGACAAACATATTGTCATTTTAAAGATTAATTTTTTAGATGTTCTTTATATGATATAAACAATAATATCTATCAACATTATTTTTAAAATATCGAAAATAGGTTAATTAATTTATCATGGCTAAATTTCATTTTAATTTTTGTTCAAAGTGAAGTCCAAGTCCAGTACATTTAGTTATTTGTTATCAAAAAGTATGCGTTGATAAAAATTAAAATATATATGCCTAGTTAGATTTAATTTGAAGTAGCTTAATATTTCTTAAGACTTTTCTCTACACTATAATTATAAACGTTGTTTCTTTTTTATAGGTGCACACAGCAATACAGCAGCCGGGATTCCTTCGAGTGAAGAGGGGATATAAACCATTAAAAGTTGAAAATCTTGTGAAAAATATACAACCCCACAGAGACCCCTCAGATCCGTACTTTCCTTTCCAATGGTATTTAAAAAATACAGGGCAGAATGGAGGAAAAGCGAAATTGGATTTGAACGTAGAAGCAGCTTGGGCACAAGGTGTGACTGGAAAGAACATCACCACGGCGATTATGGATGATGGTATGTTTATTCTAAATATACTTGTAAAATCCATTTTTGATTTATTATTTTTTTAAGTTGCTAACTGTCTATACGTAATACAAATTGTAACAAATCTCTAAGATTCAATAAATTGGCCAAGGAACTGAAGAGAATAGAATTAGTTGCAATTCATTAGCCACTTTTAGAAGATTCAGTCTTTTAATATTCAATAGCACCAATTCTAGTAACATCCTGATATTACGGAATTATAAATTTACAGTTATTTTAAATATTTAAGAAATATGTAACATTTTTATATTTCTTATTACACTTGCGTTAAGTCTAGCATAAGTTATAAATCATCTTATCCAGTTTGTTATCATAATTGCCTTGCATTCTGAAAATAGGTAACCATTATTGTACTCAGCGAATTGGAAGCTTTTATTGAAACAGGTAAAAAGCTACCACAAACATAATGAACTGGCAATTTCTTAAACAATTTTTTTGGTAAAAACTTTCTAAATTGATTGTGAAAATGCATTAGTATGGAGAGTGTGTAGCTGAGACTGTGCGCAAATTGCGTGGAATTTTCGGTAGAAGGAACGCCCCTAATGAAACAACTGTGGAAAAAATTAGTTCCCAAATTTGAACAAACATTTTCGATTGCAAACAATAAAAAAAAGGCCGGCTCTGACTCTGAAGGGAATAGATATTTAAAAAAGTATTTCAGAATAACTGAGAAGCATCAAGCCAATTACATTATTAAATCAACAAATTAAAACATCTTTATCATGTTCAGAATTTTTTAAATATTTTGAAGTTTGGCAAAACTGTCATAATTAATAGATTATATTATGAAGTTTAAAAATAGCACTAATAAAAGACAATATATCCAAAACTTAATTACATATTATTACAATTTGATAGACAAAATTAAAATCGAAACATAATTAATTTTGTATGTTATATATTTAAGAAATTATTTTAGTGTAATTATTTGAATTGTTTTAGTTTTGTGCCTTTGCTTGTACAGATAAAAAAGGAAGTTCTCTATTGCCATCGATTGTAGGTTGAACGTAATGTAATTTCGTCTTTAAAACAAAATAAAAAATATTTTCAATTCTGTTTAAATTTCTCTATGAACAATCACAATTTTTTGACTTATAACCGAACACGTCGATACGTAATTTAAACGAATTTATTTTAGTCTAGGAGCCAGAGAGGGTTCCGTAGCCAATTAGAGTGCCACGGCTGCAAACAACTTATTCTTAAGTATTTTGACCTCCTGAATCCAAAAAACTTGAAAAGCCTGAAAGTGGTCAGTTTATTTTAATTTTATGCGTTAATAGTTACGTTTTCCCATAAAAAACATACATTTTTTTTTTGAAAATTAAAAGAGATTAACTTTAACCAAAGTTATTGCAAATTTAGTGCAAATATCTTACATTTTCCGTCTCTGCGCGCACCAATTTTACCATATATCTGGTTCTATTGGACAGATTGAGACGCACGACATTTCATTTTAAAGCTTGAACTTTATTTTCAAGATAGGTAAGTTACATTTCTTAATTAATTCATTTAAAAATTAATGGCAGCTTAGAAAGTTGTGAAATTTCCACGAAAATGCTGGTTTTATTGTTTATAAGGCTTTTTTATTATTCAACTTCGATGAGAAGCCAAAAAAGTTACCGGATACTGTTCATCGCATCCTAACAATCATTTCATGCCTTATAGTTATTAGTTTTTCTTTATCAAAATCCGTGAAGAAGACGCGCGTACGTCAAGAGCGATGTACGCGCCCTCGATCGAAAGCTCAGAGTGCACTATATACTTATATGTTTTTGATGTTAATCTAGTTATTAAACAAGAATTACAAACACCATTCGGCTTTGCATGAAGATCCTCCAAACTTTTGATCAATTTTGGAAATTTTGGAAAAGGTAAAATGTAGTTCGTTGTAAATTTCATTGTCAAGGCATTAATAAAATTAATCATATAACCGGTAGTTTAAATATTTAAAAATTAATAATTATTTAGAAACCACTATCGAAGCAAATATTAAAATGGCAGAAGAATATTTAGTTAAAGTCGTAAAGAAAGGTACAAGCTGTAAGAAGTTTGATGACCTACGAGTATGGTCTTATCACCATTCAAAGTCCGCTTTAACAGAAGAGTTGCCTCTTACAAGTGCGTCAATACAACTGCACATTTTAAGGTTTATATTTTATATGTATAGTTTTATACTGTTTAAATAGCCACGATGCAAAATTAGACCCACACATGTTCGGCTGGATATATGATGGGGATATGTTTGCTCTAAAAAAATACAAATATTGCTTCCACCACCAGATGAACTCATCACTAACTGCACATGCAAATTATGCTCTAGAAGATCATGTGTTTGTGTGGCTACAGAAATTAAATGTTGCTCACTTTGCTATTGCCAAAGGCAAAGCTCCTGCAAAAATGTCTATAATGAGCCCATTATTAAAAAAATAAATTAATGAATTAAAATCTTTAAACAACTGTTGTTATTACTTATGTAAATCTTATAAATATCAATAATTAAACCAATTGTTAATGTTAATGTTGTTTTTATTATTTAGTCTTTGTGACTTCTTAATAATAAGAGTTTATAACACGTCGCCCTCTTGTACTCGCGTCTCTTCGCGGGTTTTGATAAAGAAAAACTAATAACTATACTTAAGGCATAAAATGATTATTAGGATGCGAGGAACAATATCCGATAACATTTTTGGCTTTTCATCAAAGTTTAATAATAAAAAAGCCTTATAAACAAATAAAACCAGCATTTTTGTTGAAACTTCACAACTTTCTAAGCTGCCATTAATTGTTAAATAACTAAATTAAGAAATGAAACTTACCTATCTTGTAAAATAAAGTTCAAGCTTTAAAATGAGATGCCGTGCATCTCAATCCGTCCAATAGAACCAAAGATGGGGTCAAAAAAATATGTGTTGGTTATGAGAAAACGTAACTATTAACGCATAAAAAATTGTACTAGCTATAAAAATAAAGTTTTTACAGCCATTTAAACATTTAATTTGTTAATAGCAATTAAACTAACCACTTTCAAGCTTTGCGACCAAGTTTTTTGGATTCAAGAGGTCAAAACATTTAGGAAAAAGTTATTTGCAGCCGTGGCACCCTGATTGGCCACGGAACCCTATCTGGCTCCTAGACTATTTGGTTTTAGTTTACATTTTGAATAAAATTAGTTTTTATTACATTGTAAGGGTGTTTGATTTTTATAAGAAAAAACTGTATATTTAATTTTTGATATAATATGTACGCAACTTGACTGATTTTCTAGATAAAAATTTAAAATGTTTTAAATGTAAAGTTATGTAGATTTTTTTGGTATATTTTTTGGTATAATCCAGATAAAAAAAGACAAAAGCTGTCGAAAATGTTTTCTATAATTGAATTAAAGTAGGAAAAAATAAAATATATTAATTTTGTGTCCACAAATGCGTAGTATTATTTAATTTTTCTTTAAAGCAATGAGATCTTTACGTATGTGACATTTTTAAACAAATTGAATGTTCATATTCCATTAAAGTTTTATTTATCTCAAATACGAGCTCCTGGGGTCCTATTAAGTATGTTTTTTCTTGAATCATCGATTTTTTAATTTTGTAGAGAATTATTTTTCTCCATAATATTTCAATTTCCTATCCCATAAGTTATCCATATCCCTAATTCCACACTAGATTATCTGTCTATACTTAAGCTGCCCAAAAACCGTTAAAATCATTTTAACTTTTCTTATCTCGTTTCAGGTGTCGATTACATGCACCCCGACTTAAAATTTAACTACGTAAGTATAAATTATCCAGAGATAGAACGAAATTAACTGGTTTCCTACCCTCATAAATTTTGTTGCAGAACGCTAAAGCCAGTTACGATTTCAGCAGTAACGACCCATTTCCATACCCCCGCTACACAGACGACTGGTTTAACAGGTAATTTACATTTAATTACTTTTCTGCACGTGTACTTTCTGCAGGGCATCACAATTTTTATAACGGTCACGTTAAAAAATACATTTTTAGAAGGATATACGGTTACATTTAAACTTGGCAAATAAAATTCTTTATGTCAGATGCAAATTTATATGGATAAAAATGTAATTAATGCTGTTTGTTCCATCGGGAATCGACGGGATTAATGTAAACAAAAGTAATTGTAGAACAATTTTCAATATTTTGGTAACTAATTTGAGAGATGACAACACATCTCGAATTAAGGGCTTTCTCCTTGAATTTCATTTATTTTTAGAATCTGACTTTTTGTAGAGCTCCTAAGTGCGGAAAACCAGCCTAAAATAGATGCCAATGCTCCAGACCTAGGCAAACCATCTCTGTGAAGCAAAAAACGCTGAGGAAAAACGAAATATTTTTCCGTTTTGGATTTAACCGCTAAAACTGTCCAACCGCAGCAGATAACATGTGGAGAGCACGCAGTTTCGAATTTTTCCACAAAAACCCCAGGAATGTTACGACATTCGAATTGAGACGCGACATCGAGTTGTCTCGATAAATTTAAAATAACAGCCAGATTCCACGACGGGAAAGTTTACAGTCATGAATCACTCGAATCTGGAAAGGTCAGATGTTAAGATCAAAACTGAGCAGCAGTCCCCGAGCATTCACGGACTATGATCGAACATCGACTCTGGAATCTCGAAGTTCATTAACCAGAGAGAAAATATCTGGCCAGTGTGCGTACACGACTCTAATTCAAACGTGTTCATTGTCTTTCAATATCTTGAAGCCGTCCTTGCTTATTTAAAGGGAAATAAGTTGCAAGGCTATACTGAGGGTTTCACATTACAGATCTAAAATACCTGAAAAACCGAAAGCAGTTTTCCCGGATTCGATAATAGAATTCAAACTTGAACTAGCTGCATCGTGTAATACTTCCTTTCTTGTGATATACCAATACATTGAAAAAATTGACAAAAATGAACTCCTGAAGGATAAAAATAAGCCTACAAAGCAGTGACAAAAGGGCGCACAGAAATAAATAGACTCAGAACTAGTGAAAAAAACAGCCAAAGTGGAAAAAGTGCTCATGAATCATAAGATTCCACTAGAAAACGGCTCAGTTGAAAGCTTTTCTACTAAACCAGTGCCATCCCGAGGGTGTATCTAGTGTTATTAGGCTGACAAAATAGAGCGTAACACAACAACAAGAAATAAAAGGAAAAGGACCAAAACTAGCCCGACGAGCTCTTCCCCAAGTATCCGTATTAGATGCTACTATGTATAAGAGAGCCGCCCAACAAACTAGTTTACCTCTCTGCGGAGCTGTCGGAGTTGAGAGTCCTGGTAATGAGCATTAGTTATGAGGATTTTGATGTAAATAGGATTTTGACGTAAATGAGAGTCTTGTTCAATTGGAGGTATGGGAAAAATAAACACACGCCAGTATCATAAAAATTATAGCTGTGGTGTTAAAATAGATATTTTGGATTCTAGGTCGACAAGTACCGCTTTTGCATTCAAGAATGGAGAGTTTTCGTTATTCAACAATGTAAATGCGACTTTAAATGTGTATTAAACTGAATCGAAATGTTGTGAAAATTGGCGAAAATGGGAGTAAAATTTGACATTTACGACAAATTAATTTGACGTTTATGTAAAAATAGAAATATGTTCAAGCATAATCGTATGAACTAAGATTTCAAACGAGTTCAAAACAGTGGTTGTATTCATGTTCATTTAGGAAATAGTGAGGATTCGCGTTTGTACATCTAATGAAAACACATTGTGTGATTTTATCATAACAAAAATCCAACAAGATCAAACAAACTTAACCGCGATTTACTGAAACAACCACAGAACTCACAGAAACTCCATCTGTGATAACAAAGAACGTAGAAAACGATGCTAGTCCAGGTCCGGCTTAAGGAGGGCTACGGTGGCTATGGCCCCGGACCTCATAAGTTCGGGGGATCTCGACAAGATATGCCAAAATGAATTTTAGTTTTTCTTTTTTAAAATCAAATCATAAAGTTTTTGAAATTTTACATCGAAGTTGCCGATTACGTGAATATTTTTTTTAGAATCAGACAAGGTTAGGTTTTGAAATATATTATCGTTTTTTTTTAAGAAAAAGGGATTGTGTAGAACTTGTAACCCCGGGTCTCACCATAGGTTAATCCGGCCCTGTGCTACCCAAATATATGTCTACATTTTAAGCGTACAACAAACGACAATATGTCTGTTTCTTTTTCATTCATCAAGGATAATTAATAACCTCTGTCGGAACTAGTATCAGTCGCAGTACATATGAATACGATTTCTTGTCTCGTTGTCACGTTGATCAATAATTGAACATATGTCTTTTATATTGATGTATGTTGATGATGTGAACTTAAAGATCCAACGGCTCAACTGTATTATGTTGTAGTGTATACTTTGTGTACGTATCGATCAGATGAAAAATATTTGCCTCGTGCAATATCGAAAGCCCCAGAAAGTGCGGTCTCCTAATTTATTCCTCAAAAATCTTTTTTTTTATCGTAGGTAGCTCAAAATTGAGCTTTTCTATAACATCCAGACAGTAATTAAAAAAACATTGCGATTTTAAGTTTACCCACTTTAACCTAGGCAACTCTTAACGTATTCAAACTTTAGGTACCTAGTTAGTTACATAATAAATGCAGGATTTTTTAGTGTTTTGACGGGCTAGATTCCTATAATGAAAAATTTCCTCGTTCGCTTGAGCTACTAGAAAATAAAATATATTCTTGGATAAAAGCTGCTGAAGACATAGGAAAAATCTAAAGAAATAAAGCTACCACAACTAAATCCCTTAAGGCATCATTATCTTATTAGTCGAAAACACATTCCTTCACTAGCCAAAGTTAAAATTTATACAAGTTAAATATCAAGCAAGACTTATTCATTTGTAAACTTTCCACCCCAACATCTTTCAAACAACAAAAGTATTTCGACTGTCTTTTGTTCGACATATGAAGGACAGACATTACGCAGCGCAATTACAATCCTCTTAGAAATCACCCCCTAATTCTCAAGCAGCTCCTATTGAAACTTTTAAATACCATGTCTTTACATCAAAGTAAAATCTTTGGAAAAGCTCCCTTTATACCATTGAAAATATATTTAGGCATCAGAAGTAAAATTCTATGGAAGGTTGCGTGATAAGAAGTATATTTTTGTATTAAATTACTTTTGTCTGTAGGGACTGCGTACAAATTTCCAACATGTTACAAGTACGAGGGTCACTCTAAACGAAATGCACGGCATTTTTAAAAAAATCCAATTTTTGTTCTACATCTTTGCTATTCACGGAGGTCATAGAAACATTATTCCCGCTTGTATTCGAATTTAATTCAACCTGTTTCCGCGAGTCGCGCTGTCGTAGCATTCTGTCAAACAACGTGGTGTTATAGAGTTCCTGTGTTGTGAGAACGAGACAGTGACAAACATTCATAAGCGATTGAACAAGGTGTATAGGTATCACCATGGCTGTGCAACTAGCATTGCCATATTCGCAACAGGGAGGGGATGGAGCTTGTCCAGACACATGAAGAACGGGGTGAGGAAAAGGAAGTAACTTTTAGTTTGTTACGTTTGTTACAAGTTTTTTCACTATGTAAAATCTAGTGTCTTTAAATTTTTTACTAACTTTTCCACATTGAAATTCACGACTCACGTTTGTTTAGCACGACATTTTTCTTGATTATATTATGTATTTATAGTAAGTACGAGAAAAATATTGGAAGTTTTTGCAAAAATATAAGTAAATATTAAATTGAGCAAGTTTTTCTATTAAATATAGAGAAAAGTGTTATGTTTGTTTACACACAAAAGAAAAATATTTATTATTTATTTATGATGTCTAAACATTCATATCCTTAAAAGATTGTTTTTTATCCGTCAACTTTCCATTTTGTTTGTGTGTTTAGAAAACAGATTTAACAGAAAATATATTGTTTGTGAATAGAATTGTTTGTTTGTATGCAACAATAATAACCGCGCCATTATTCCATGGCTAGAAATTGGCCTCAATGATTTGGGATCGAGGGGGATTATCCCTTTTTTATAACATTAATAACCACATTAATATTGCTAATAAATACTGTTTTATAAATTTTGCAGTTTCTTTTTTAAGTTTATTTAAACGAGTAAAATACGATTTTACCATTATAAATCGTAATATGGTATATATTTTTAAATATTAAACGGAAGTAGTATTAGGGTCATGTGACACTATGCTAAAATTATAACTAATTTCAGTAATTAACTAAGAACTTTTTAATCTTGCATAGTATCATACAGAAACTGCTACATTTTTGTTGCAATTTGTGAATGATACTATGCCAGATTAAAAAGTTCTTAATTAATTACTGAAATTAGTTCTAATTTTAGTATAGTGTCATATACGACCCTTAGAATGTATTTTCAAAAGCCCGCGCAAATTGGCATCTGTTTTACCTGCGGTAGATTATAAATTATAATCATCATTATCGTCTCGGCTATCTTTAGTTCCATTTTTTTGGGCGGCCAGACACAGTGAGAGAGCCAGTTGTTGTGCTTTAATGTCAGTGGTGTTTCGATTTTGGTATTATGAAAACGACCTTCTTGTATTATATGTTTTGCGGGTATCACGCTGTTGATCGCAGTATAATTAGTCGTTGCCTAAGCAGATTATCTGGTGAAAGTGTGCAAGCTAAAGCTATGGTTTGTTAGAGTTGTAGGCGACGCAAAGCAGACAGTCAGTTGTGCGCGTCGGACTTACGCTGAAATCTAGAACACAAGAAGATGCGTAGCCGCTTTGTTAGATTCTGCTCAGGTGGACTGACGGTAGGCAGAAAATTTTGTGCGTTGTCAGTTCAGTCGAAATCAAATTTGATTTCAATGCAGTCGTTCAGTTGAGCTCACAGCATACAGTGCTAAAAAGTGTTTATTTTTAACGAATTTTAAAATGGCAA